TGCTTCAGATTGTCACGGCGTTCCACCAGCGTGGTCCCAAGGTCAGGGCAGAGCCCACCCGTGCCGTTGTGCTGGGAGAGGGGCTCCTCCTTCCGCAGCCCGCGAGCCCCGGGCTCCAGTTTGAAGAGTTGTTCGGGTTTGGTGAGTTCAGAGCTTTCCACCACCACCGGCCCCGTCCACTCTGGGACCTCCAGCCCCAAGTGCTTCATCAGCTTCGTCATGACGTCGTCGACGTAGGCGTGGATGCGCAGGTCGGCCTGTCTGTCCTGGGGTGGGCGAGGACAAGCACGGCGTTAGGGGACAAGCACGGCATGCAGGGACAAATGTCCCCTCCCTGGGAGCGCATGGGGACAGCGCCTGGGTGATGGCTCAGCTGCACGTGGGCTCCTGTCCCCGAGACACTGTCCCTGGTGGAACACGAGTCCCTGACCCCGTCTGGCAGCGCTCCCCGGCCACCCCGCAGGTGACAGGGCTGTCGGGGTGTGGGCAGGGAGTCCCCACCGTGACACGCAGCCCAGAGACAGGGACACAGATGCAGGGCCAGGCTAGCGAGCCCAGGACGGAGAGGGACAGGGACAAGGGAGCTCTAATGACATCGCAGAGATCCCCCAGCTCTGGTTATTCAAAAGATTTTGGACAATTAGGGCACCAAAACCAGGGCTGAGCACGAACCGAACTCTGCCCTGTGGTGTGGGTTACACGTGTGCGGTTATTTCATCGGAATATCGTTCCCCGGAGGATACATCAAGCTTTGGGCTGAGGTTTTATTCCGCTCTTAGGATTTATTTTCCATTTCTAGGTGTTCATCAGAAATTGCGGGTTTAACCCCTCCGACAAGGGCAGCCCAGCCTGGGGGCTCGCTAAGCGAGGCCACTCTTCCTTGTGGCCACCTGGGAGGGGACGATGTGCAGGGACCAACCTGTGACGGGGCTGAAACAAGTGACGCGGGGGGAAAGGAGCAGCGCAGGGGGGCGAGGACGCGCTCACTCACGTGTTTGGTGGCTTGGAGGTTGACGATGACCAGCTTCCCTCCTCTCTTCTTCGTGATCAGCGGGAGGTTGCCGCTGGGTTTGATCTGCAGAGAGGTCCCCAGGGTGACGGAGAGATCGGCTTTCCTGCAGGGAGGAGACAAAACACCCAGGGTGGAGAAAAACCCCCGGCTGTCTGCAGGCTGCTTCTCCTCCCCTGTCCCAGCGCGGACTCTTCACGCTTCCCAAGGGGGGAGCAAAGCCGCTGTCAGAATTTGCCGTGGTTCTTCTTGACCATTTTCCTGGGCGTTGGCTGGGGGCACAGCCTCAGGGCTGCGAGGCACAAAACGCGACGGACGGAGCCAGGCAGGGCTGGCCCGAGGACCGCCGCGGTGCTGGCAGAGGACGGGGAGCCCAGGAAATTGCACAGGGAGCCCAGGGACCCTCCCAGGGCATCGGTGGCCGCCGCGGCGTGACAAGCCCCAGCGCCGTACCTGCAGGCTTCATCCGCCAGCGTGAGGTCGCGGTCGGGCAGGGAATCTTCCCAGTCCAGGATAGTGTCTCTTAATTTCCCTCTAGAAAAAAAAAAAACCACACGGGGACCACGGTTTCCCCTGCCCTGGGA